GCTACGAGTTGGAACCGACTCCACGGCACAGAACAACAACATAAGGGTTTAGAAACTTTTATAGCAATTCAACAAAATAATTTTATTCCTATTGAATCTAATAATGAATTTTGGGCTGCATTTTGTATGGTTCTTTAAAAACATCATTTTCCTAGTACCTAATTTTTATTGTATTTTACAAAAGTGTGAGATATGCTGTGGAGTCAGTTTTTGAGGCTCTAAACGTTTATAGGAGCAGAAGGCCTCATCATTCTGGACATGAAAACAACAACAGTGTAGGTCCTTAACCACAGATAATACTGGTGTAAAACACAGTTCAAGGAGACAGGGAGCTGAGCTAACCACAGAATTTTACTTTTGTTGAATAACCAGATTCTTCCATCACTACCAGGCTGGGGCTGAGATTTGTGGGTTAGGAGTTGCTGAGACTGGTGGATCGCCTATAATGAATACCTAAAAAAAGTGTTCTAGTAAGTTTAACTGGGATTTTGGAAACAGTTTGTAATTCCGAGCAAAAAGATGGGCTCAAAAAAACCAAAACCCCAACCCACCCCACTGCCCTTGAGCCAATTCTGACTCATAGTGACCCTATGCTACTAATACTGTTGCTGTGGTGTGTCGATAAGTTGGTTCCGACTCACAGCGGCCCTGAATAGACTTCCTATGAGGCTGTAAATCTTTATGGGAACAGAAAGCCTCATCTTTCCCCCCAGGAGCAGCTGGCGGATATGAACTGCTGATTTTATGGTTAGCAATCCAGTGTGTAACCCACTACACTACCAGGGCTCCGTGACCCTGTGTTGTTGCTGGGTACCATTGAGTTGGTTCTGACTCTTAGCAACCTTAACAAAACACTGCCCAGTGGCCCCTTAGGGTTTCCAAAGCTGTACATCTTTACAGAAGCAACTGCCTCATCTTTTTCCTGCGGAGTGGTTAGTGGGTTCGCTGCCAAGCGCTTTAGCCACTGCCACCAGGACTCTTAAAAGATGGACACATGACTTTTATCCATTTGAACAAACTACCAGAGACCATTTGCCACTGTCTAGAATTTATGACAGATTACTGCTTTGTTACTTGTGATTAACTACTTCAGTTGGGTAACGCTTTACGTAAAGAATAAAAAATACATTATTTGTATGAAAAATCAAGAAAAATGGACATTGTATGAGTACGCATTACATAAAATTCATTTGTTTGCATTTTATTTTTGTATCCAAAAAGTTTAATTGCTTCCCGTACCCTTAGTAAGCAATTTTATGGTTAACTTTCAGGCAAACAGCTTAATAGGAATGCACTGGAAACATTCTTTAATAAGGTGAAAAGTATTAATGATTTAAAATAGTAAAAATCTAGGATGGTGTTGATTTCTATTGTGCAGCTCCTTATTCTCTCAGTACTAATATTCTGGAATTGTGTGTTTGTTTTTTTCAGGAGAGTTTATTCTGTGTTGTTGCGGCATTTGGATGTTTCTACTATTGAATCTTTGAAAAGCTGGGAAAAGATGACCATGAAGATATATGAACTTTTTTATATTATTAAATATCTTAATAAAATAAAAATAAGTTGGCTGTTTTGCAATTGTTAGACCATATATTTTGAATGTTTTGATTTCATTACAAGGTGTTTTTATTAAATTTGAAATGTAGAGAATAAAGTAAGGGAAACTCTGTAATTCAATTGCTCAAACACAGCCAATTGTAAATATTTTGGTGTATTTTGTACTGTTGTTGTTGATAAGTGTTGTTGAGTCAGTTCTGACTCATAGTGACCCTGTATAGGGTATCCAAGGAACGGCTAGTGGGTTTGAACTGCCAAGCTTGTGGTTAGCAGTCCAGTGCTGATCCTACAGCCTATTCTGTGCTTGTTCTTAAGTGCTGTCGGGTCGGTTTCGACTCATAGTGACCCACCATGGAGTTTCTAAGGAGTGGCTGGTGAGTTTAAACTCCTGACTATTCAATCCAACCTTGCAGTCCTGCATATATAGATATATATATACACACTCAATTTTGTGTCCTGATTTTTTTCAGTTCTTGTAATGTCATATAGTTTTTTTTACATCATTTTATGTGTACTATGATTTTCATAAGCATAATTTGATAGTTTCATTGATTCCATTAGGTTATACCAGTTTATTTTTGCCATTTCCTTATTAAGAGACTGCTTATTTCTAAATCTTCACTATTAGAAACATAACAGTTTTTTCTACATTTTGAATTGTTGCTTTTATTTCTCCCTGCAGGGTTTCTGCCTAGTTATTGTCACTCTATACTTTCCACAAGGAGCCCTGGCAGTGTAGTGGGTTACAAGTTGGGCTCCTAACTGCAAGGTCAGCAGTTCAAATCTGCCAGTTATTTCACAGGAACAAGAGGAGGCTTTCTGCTCCCTGAAAGATTTACAGGCTCGGAAACCCCATACTGAGTCACTATGAGTTGGGACCAACTCAGGGCACACAACCATCACTGCCATACCTTACACGGTTTACTAGCTTTGCTTTTGTTGTTGTTTAGTGCCATCGAGTCAGTTCTGACCCATCATGACCCTGTCTAGGGTTTCTAAGGAACAGCTGGTGAGCCTGAACTGCCGACCGTGTGGTTCAAACTGACTTTGCAGTCCACCACATTAACCCACAGCACTAACACCTCGTTTTTCTCAGGGTTTATCTACAGTTTCAGGATCTCAGAGGTTGCAAGTTGTGTATGAAATTAAACCAAACCAAACCCATTGCCCTCAAATCAATTCTGACTCAGCGACCCTGTAGGACAGCGTAGAATTGCTCCACAGGGTTTCCATAGCTAGTGGGTTTGAACTGACAACCTTTTGGTTAGCAGTGGAGTGTTTAACTGCTGCACCACCAGGGCTTAACCGCTGTGTTTAACCGCTGTGTATGAAATAAACCTCCCTTTAAGGTTTCCTGAAGTTCTTTTGTTGGCTATCATCTAAACTCCTGCTATATTTGCACTAATTTTCCCTTTCGAGGCCCTGTTATCTTCTCCAGCAACCTGACTTTAGGCACCTCAGTCTATCATGCATGCTCAAACTATTATTTGAAACTCAAAAGGGAAAAGGCTAGAATTTACGTATTTTTTTTTACCCTCTACTTGGAGACTCCTGGACAGATGTAAAGATTACCCACAGCCTTAGCCAGGGTTTGCTAGAGGAGCAAAGGCAGTGATATATATGTATCACTCCTCAGAAACTGTACAGGGCCCCTGAGTCGGGACTGACTCGACAGCACTTAACAACATATGTGTGTGTGTGTGTGCAAATATAGAGAGATGTACTTCAAGAAAATGACTCACACAATTGTAAGGGCTGGCAAGTCCCAAATCCATAGGGACTGCAACAGGCTGAAAGCCTCTGTGTCCCAGAAAGTGGAGGATAAGTGATGAGAAGAGTGCAGGGTTGAAAGTGAGTTTTACCAGAACATCCCCACATGTCCAAGAAAACTCCCTTTCCATCTGACTGACTGGTCCCATCAGACAATGTCGTGGAAGATCATCAGATTATGTAGTTCCTTATGGAAGTGCACCCAGTCAAGTAACTGCTAAACCACTGAGAATCATAACCTGGTCACATTGACAACATTAACAATCACACCTGCCCTCTTTCTTCTTAGTCACTTTCAAGTTAAGCATCTACTAATGAAAGAAAATTAATTTGGAAGTCCATTTAAAATCTTTCATAACACTGGGTACCTACCTACTTGCCTTGTTGTCAAGTGCCGTCAAGTTGATTCCGACCCATAGTGACCCTGTATAGGGTTTCCAAGGAGTTGATGAGCTTGAACCGCTGACCTTGCAGTTCAAACAGCTTTGCAGTCTGGCGCATTAACCCACAGCGCCACACCAGGACTCCGTTACTTGCCTTACACCTACAACATCAAGAGATCCCTCCAGATGTTCATTATGGTAAAGGACAAAGGTGCTCCTCTCCAGTCACCCAGTTGTATGATTTCCTTCTAGTTGTTAAGTGCTGTTGAGTCAATTTCGACCCATAGCGACCCTGTATAGGGTTTCTGAGAAGTGGCTGGGGAGCTTGAACCCCTGACCTTGAGGTTCAAAAGACTTTGCAGTCCAGTCCATCAACCCACAGCGCCACACCAGGCCTCCGGTCTGCGTATGTAAGGGGAGAATTTTACTATGGAATCACCAGAGCTCGCTAATTGATTGCAGTTGATTGTGAGCCAACCTCGGTCTGAAGAAACAACAGGGAAAAAAAGTTTGGGCCAGCCACATGTTTTCCTTAGCCTAAAATTGATCAAACATGCAATCAAGATGTATTGATAATTACTGGTGATTGCAATGCAAACGTTAGAAACAAAGATGAATTGGAAAATATGGCCTTAGTGACAGATATGATACTGGAAATTGCAAGATGAAATTTTGCAAGACCAATGACTCATTCATTGCAAATACCTGTTTAAAAAGCATTAAAGATGGCTATACACATGGACCTTACCAAATGGAATACACTGGATCAAACTGATTATATCTGTGGGAAGAGATGGTGGAAAAGTTCAATAGCATCAGCCAAAACAAGGCCAGGGTTGACCGGGGAACAGATCATCAATTACTCATATGCAAGTTCAAGCAGAAGCTGAAGAAAATTAAAACAAGTCTATGAGAACCAAAACTTTACCTTGAACATATCCCTCCTGAATTAGAAACCATCTCAAGAACAGATTTGATGCATTAGACACTAATGAACAAAAATCAGAAGAGCTGTGGGGTGACATCAAGAGCATCATACAGGAAGAAAGCAAAAAGTCATTTAAAACACAGGAAAGAAAGAAAAGATCAAAATGGACGTCAGAAGAGACACTGAAGCTTGCCTTCCAGTGTAGAGAAGCTTAAAGCAAATAGAAGAAATGAAGTAAAAGAGTTGAGCAGAAAGTTTCGAAAGGCAGCTTGAGAAGTCAGTCAAGTATTATAATGAAATTGCAAAGATCTGGAGTTAGGAAATCAAAAGGGAAGAACATCCTCAGCATTTCTCAAGCTGAAAGAACTGAAGAAAAAATTCAAGCCTCGACATGAAATACTGAAGGATTCCATGGGCAAAATATTGAGTGATACAGAAAGAATCAAAACATGATGAAAGGAATACACTGTACCAAAAAGAAATGGTCTATGTTTAACCATTTCAAGAGGTAACACATGATCAAGAACTGATGGTCCTGAAGGAATGAGTCCAAGCTGCACTGTAGGCATAGGCAAAAAGCAAGACTCCAGGAATTGATGGAAAAGAAATTGAAATCTTTCAGCAAACTGATGCAGCCCTGGAGGCTTTCATCTATGCCAAGTAATTTGGAAGACAGCTACCTGGCCAAATGATTGGAAGAGATCCATATTTGTGCCCATTCCAAAGACAGGTAATCCAATGGAATGCGGAAATTATTGGACAATATAGTTAATATCACATACAAGTAAAATTTTGCTGAAGATAATTAAAAAATAGCTGCAACAGTACATTGACCATGAACTGCCAGAAACTCTAGTTGGATTCAGAAAACAATGTGGAATGAGGGATATCATTGTTGATACCAGATGGATCCTAGCTGAAAGCAGAAAATTCCAGGAAGATGTTTATTTGTACTTTACTGACTATGCAAAGGCTTTTAACTGTGTGGATCATGACAAGCTATGTGTAACATTGCAAAGAGCACTTAAATGTGATCATGTAAATAGATCGAGAGACAGTCATTTGAACAGAACAAGGGAATATTGAATGGTTTAAAGTCAAAAGTCAGGAAAGATGTGCGCCGAACTGTATTCTTTCACCACACTTATTCAATCTGTGTATGCAAAGTAAATAACAACCTGTGATTTGCAAATGATGCAACCTGGCTGAAAGTGAAGAGGATTTAAAATACTGATGAAGATAAAAGGCCACAGCCTTCACTATGGATTGCACCTTAGTGTAAAGAAAACAAAATTTCTCACAACTGGACCAATAAATAACATCATGATAAATGGAAAAAAGATTGAAGTTGTCAAAGACTTCATTTTGCTTGGCTACACAATCAACATTCATGGAAGCAGTAGTCAAGAAATCAAACGTATTGCACTGTACAAACCTGCTATGCAAGACCTCTTTCAAGTGTTCAAGAGCAAAGATACCAGTTTGAAGACTAAGGTGCAATTGACCCAAGCCGTTGTATTTTCAATTGCCTCATATACTTGTGAAAGTTGGACAATGAATAAGGAAAAGCATAGAAGAACTGATGCATTTGAGTTATGATGTTGGAGAAGAATACTGAAAGTACCATGGACTGCCAGGAGAACAAACGAATCTTGGAAGAAGTACAGCTAGAATGCACGTTAGAAGTCAGGATGGCCAGACTTATAACTCATGTTTTAGACATACTATCAGGAAGGACCAGTTTCTGGAGAAGGACATTATGCTTGCTAAAACTGAGGATAAGGGAAGAGATGGATTGGCACACGTGCAACAAATTTGAGGACAGCGCAGTGTTTTGTTCTGTTGTGCACTGGGTCGCTATGGATCTGAACTGGCAGGTTAATGCGCTGGACTACAAAACTCTTGTTTGAACCGCAAGGTCAGCTGTTCAAGCTCACCAGCCA